GCCCAAGAAAGCTGGGTGTTGCTGTGTCATCAGAAACTCTTGTTATACTGCCAGATTTCTATTTTGACTCCAGCAGAGAGTGTGGTCACTCCACAGGGTCCAGTGGACAGACCCATCGGTCATTGTTCTGTGCCTCTCTCATATGCAGCTGGGGACAGAATTTGGCCATTGCCTTTCTAGCCAAAAGGAGTTGGAAGAATCTCCTTCTCCAACATGGGGTGGTAGAAATTATTGTAACTTTACCCTTCTACCTGCTTCCATTTCTGAACTAATCAGTTGTCAAWACAGATTGTCTCATTATTTTAATCTATGCAATTTCATGAGGTCTTTCTGTGTTTCCTATTAAACTACATTTATGGCTGCTATGATTTGTCTGGGGATGTATTCTGTAGCACTATTTCTAGTTCTGAACAACGTTTACTATRGTTTTCATACTTTGCAATTTAATGATAAATTCTGACCTTTTTATTTCTCTTTTCCTGCAGAATCTTTTGTTTAAATGTTTCTCTGCAAAGTTAGATTATATTTCTATCAGACACCAAACTGGAATTTTCTTCTTGTGCAACACGTGGCAAATTTTTGCAAGGTCTGTTGTTAAAACTTACTTTGTGGGTTTGTGGTCTGCAACATKTTTTGTTTTCTGAACATGCTATACAAGCTAGCAAACTTGATGCTTGCCACATGCCTTTCATCTCAGGCTCACCAGCTGATAGGATAACTCTATAAACATCCTGGGCTCTTCATTCYACAGGTTAATCAGCATTTCTGCATTGCATGGTGCAGACTGATTATATCCATTTGCTGTTATACCCTTCCACTTCTAAGTTTCAAATTCAAAAATATAAATGCATTTTTGWCTCAAAAAGCACAAGCAGGTCTTGTTGTCTCATTTGTTGCATGAGCTGAATAAATGCTGCATGCATGTAACTATGCTGAGCAAATGTAATTTCCACCAGACAAAATACAACAACTCTCATCTGGCAAAAACCTCATGTAACTTACGTTTTCTGTAACATAGGCTCAATCCTGCAAAGTATTAGGAAATTTGGCCCACAATTAGCAAAATTATTAAGCATAGATCATTTAGAACATCTGAGTCATCCTAACAACTTCAGCAATTAAAAACTTTTTTTTCATAGTTATGTTGTTTTTTAGTTATCATAGTTATCATAGTTATCATAGTTTTTTTCATAGGTATTCTGTTGAGCAAGATATTTTTTTTCTGTAGAAGTCCATGGCGAGGCTCACATGAGTAAACACATGCATAAAAAGCTTTGATGAATGAGGAAATGAAAGTGGTTACATCTGAAACAAAAACTGCTCCCCTGTCATACTTAGACTCTTTAGTAAATATATAGTTATCTGCCAAGCCTGTTCTTGAAAAAGAGGAAAAAGAGTGGCTGGGGATGGTACTTTTTCTGCAAACCAGAAATTATTTGAATATTTTGTATTTARTTTAATTTCCCCAAATATAAACAGAAATCAAACTTGACCTGGAATTACAATCAGCATTGAATAGGCACTTTCAGAGTCACTTTCCTGAAGTCACCCTGGAGAGGATGATTGTAACAGCTGGTGCTTCATTTCTGCACTTGCTTGGCTGGAAATACCTTCTGGTAAAGCTGTCTGGGTWTAGGAAGCCTGTGAGAACTCTGCACCCTTTTTAAATGTAATGAGTTTATCTTCATTGTCTCATTGCAAAACAAGCCAAACATAATATCCGACTTTAAAAGAAAAGAAAAATTGTGGGAAAATGCCTTTATTTTTGAAAGTCATATGTGAAAATGCTATTTTGCAGTAAAACGAGCTCAGTGCCTTAAAAGWAAAAAAACATTTTTTGTCTGAAAAATACATTACCTATGTAATAACAACACAATAAATGACCTTTAAAGCACTTTARAAGTATTTTTGGATCAGTTGTGTTAATGTAGAGTTCTTGGTATATTGCCAGTTTCATTATTATGTTTAGAAAGTCCTTTTTCTCTATTGTTTAAATAAGCATTTCACATCCTATCCCTGGAGAAAAAGTTTTCGGGGAAATATGTTCATAAATAATGGAAATTACCAGAGACTGTTGTACAACATGCAGATAGTTTTATCTGGTTCACTTAAAACCAYGAGAAGTTTACCACTGAAGAATCTGTTCCAGCTTTTCTCCTGCAGAAGCTTGCAGAAGGTTCAGGACCGAAATCTGAGAGTCACCAGGGGCTTAGGGAACAGTTGCCCAATGAAGAATTCCACTTTGAGGTGAAGCAGAACACAAATGACTGAGGCACCACCAGTCCGGGTTCATCTAATCTCGAAGCTGGTTACTTCTGTAAATACATTTTTCTGTTTAATAGAATTCTTTCTCATCACATGTTTACTTCTTGGCATAACAACTCACCTGGCAAGGCATTAAACCCCCAGTTTTGTTAGATCCCTAGTTCAAGGTGTCTCTCCAGACAGAAGTCTGAGACATCTGATCTTTGAGACAAATAGATCTTGAGTATYTTGCAGACTGAGACTTTGGGAGGTATCCAAGCTCTGCATGGTGGGGAAAATGTTACTATTTTTTTTTGTATCTTCCCGAATCAGTGAACGTGTAGCAAATGTTATGAGGAAGAAGGAAGAGGCCAGCTGTCTCCTGTCACTGTTCTTTTGTGTTTTTTCCTGGTGGTTGACTGAAAATCCAATTTGGAGGAGCTGCATTCAGCTCAGAAAGGGTTCAGCCTAGCTGGCCCGAAACGGAGCTTCTGGAATGGGGCAAGAAGTTGCTGGCAAGCTGCTCCAGACCAGCAGCTTCTGGGAACACAGGCAGTCATCCTCGGTGAATTGTGCCCCAGGCAGTGGCATATGTAACACAGGGGGGTTGGGTTGTGCCAAGGCTCACAGAGCTCAGACCAGCCCCTTATCACAACTACTTTACCTCAGGATTTTCCTCCCATCACTGCACGTTATTGCAGCCAAGCGGACAAACTCATCCTGGCATGTRAAAGCACGTAAAGAGAAGAAAGCTCCCGTGCCAGGTGGTTTCACTTTGCCCGCTGTGCCACAGGAAGGCAGACTGGCCACCAGACAGGGGCTACCACGTGTCCCTGCAGCCCCAGGATGTCCCACTCACTGCTGGATGTGCATGAGAGCCCTGGGCTGCTACACACGGCAATAACACCCAGTAACACCCACACCAAGGTCTAGGTCCCACGGTCCACCCACATCAAACAGTACTTGCTAAGGGACTCYGAGCTGGGTTAATAAAGTGCTGGTAATATGGGAGTATGTGACAGTGACTTTATCCCCCACCTCAGTTAAATCTGAGAGACTTTAAACAGGTCAGGCTTAAAGGTGTACATATTGTATCCCAGCACGAATTGTGTTTTCAATTCTGATCAGTTTTTGGACCTACCTCAGCATCACATTGCAGAGATCCAACACTGGGTGCTCACTCCTTCTGCTTCAGATCCAGCCTTTTCCAGGGACCTCTGGCAATAGTTACACTGGCCTAGGATATACCTCAAAATATTTGCATCTGACCATTCTGACAATTCTGCTTTGAAATAAATACTCAACACAAAAGAATAAAACTTTAGCCTTTTAGCACTACTAGAAAAATTTGGGTTCATATTTCAATACTACCTATACTACTACAAATCATATTGTTCAGTTGCTCAGCTGTCACATAYGTATTTCTTCTCTCAGTAAAAACTCAGATCAATGGATTTAAAAATACCAAGTACATTAAACTGGTTAATCCATCTCTCAGATTCAGAACTTACTCAGAGGAGCAGTTTTTGTTAGGAGATGACATACCATTACCTCAGACTTTTGAGGAACAAGTTGGTGCCTTGCATATTTTGGTGGGGAGAAGYAAGGCCTGTCTGTGTTGGCCAAGAAATGTAATCATTTTTCTTTCCAGGGTGTGGAAAGAAAGCATGTGGTGGTGCTTCTTTTGATGCAGCTCATAAATGCATGTGTCCTACAAGTAACTGGAAATGAAAGTTAAAAGACCATTGCAGACAAGCTCCATGTGAATTCCCTATTCTAAAGATAACACAATCAAGCTGTGTTTAACTTTCTCAGATACCCTGATTCTAGAAGAAATGCAAGCTCGTTCTATAAATGATGAAGACACATCTAAGACTGATGTTATTTGCACTTAAAATGAGCAGCTGAAGATTGACTAATTCATAGATAGGATATCTGAATTGGAAGGCACTTCATATACTTGTGGGTGGGGAAAAAAATTAGATCCTATTTTTGTTCTATT